TCCCGCCGACCCCAGCTCCCCCGACCGGGGAGAGAGCGCGACCCAGCCCCGCCTCCCCATGGCAGACGGGGGAAATAAGGCTGCGATCAGCGCTGCTGGCACGCACGGCTGGGGAAAGTTTCCCACCCAGCACACCAGCCGCCTATCCTCTGCGGGGTTCTGCCCCAGCACGTCGGGGCTCGGCCCCGCACCCCCCCCACCTACCCCGGGCTGCAGGCAGAAGAGCTCGGCTGTTTGCACCGCGGCAAGAGCACCACGCCAGCCACCGCTGCCCTACAGCCACAGTCTGAGCCCGAAGGGGTATTGCCCTTTCCCTTGCTTTCAGTTTTTATTTTCATCTTCCTTCTCTCGACCTGCTTGGAAAAAGCTTGAAGCCAGAAGAAGAAAAGGTGTTTGATCATCAGTGGGCACGCCCTGCTGAAGAACTGAAGAGCAGCCCTTCACGCAGGAAAAATACTCAGGGCTGAAATTTCTCTGGGAGAGCTGGGAACATATGGCAGAAGGCAGTCTGCCAAAGCTCGCAGTATGCAAGTGAGATGTAGCAAAGAGGTATCAAGCATTTTCCTGTTCAGTTAATTAATCTTAAAAATATTCATCCTTAAAGATGGTGACTTGTTTTACAATGTTTATTTATATGCTAAAAAAAGCATATAAACATCCTGTGGCTGTGAAACCACTACCTGTTCTTTTCCTCCAAAACACTCTTCATTGATGGTCATTTTTCAAGTTGACATAAAAAGCTGTGATTTCATCAAAGACAAGCCCAGCTCTCTGCTGAGGGTGTTCCCCCCTCCTCCGAAATCTGCAGATCCGTTAACGAGCAGCACAACTGCCCTCGCTCACTCACCACGGGATTTGAGAGCTCTGCACTGTTCGTAAGCGAGACTCCCCAGGATACAGAGCCAGCAGGAGAGACAGATCGCCAGGCTACGGGAATGCAGAACCCAACTTATTTCTTCCAGAAACCTTTATTCCGTGCAGCTTTTGAGCCAAATAGTAAAGAGTCCGAAGGTGACAGTTACAATCCCTACCCACAAGTCCTCACACACATATCTTGTCTTCCGACATCTTGAACAGAAAGCTGATGTGGGTATTAACTCTCAGTCTTGCCGCTTTGTGTCCTGTTCAAGTGGTCAAAGCTTCTTTGGAGCATGGAAAGGGAGCTTTTTAGCTGTGAAGATACAACCATCATACCTCCCCAATTACTTAAGTTAGTCTGCTGCATGGGTGAGTGATATCAGGAAAACAACGTCTCCCTCCTCCTTTTCTTTTAAAGATTTCATGCAATTTCCTCCTCCCCGTTTCTATAAACAGTTGCCTTACTGTGTACTCCTAAGAGCTATGCTGTGTACAGTTTATAATTACTAACAGTCCAGTGTGATAAAGTCTTAACACCTCACCAGACAATACTGCGGAAGATAAGCTACCCCACTCATTTTTAGTCACAGTTCATGTTCATAGCAAATACTCTAAGAAACATAACAGCAAAGCATGAATTTTCTTTCAATACCTAGCCCTCCCAGTGCATTTTGGTGCACAAAGTGTGTTTAGATTATTGACAACCCTCAAAAAACACGAGGTAACAGGCACTAAGATGACTTCTAGACAAAAGTGTTTTTTGTGATGAAAAGGTGGTTGAATTCTCACTTTTTTTTTTTTAACACACTATTTGTTCAAAAGGCAGTTTAACACTTCAGAATTAGAAATTTTTTGGGTAGTAAGCAGAGAAACTGAAAAGGGCATGGAAACCAGGAAATTCACTTCTACAGTGAAATTTCCAGCATTCAAGCTTTTTCAAGCTGTAATCAAAATAGTTAATAAATTAATAGCAATCTTGTATGCAGAGACACCTCTGAACACGGAGTATAAGAAATGGCTTCTTTTTCTAACCTCCTTTAGTGTGTGGGAGAACACAGAGCAAACTGGTGATGGATAAAGGTACATGTGAACTCCCCCACAGCCTTCCTAATCTAATAATTTCTTCTGTCACATTTTAAGGTTTAATAAAAGAACTTAAAATCAGAACATTCATAGGTCATAAGTAAAAAACAAAGTATGAATTTGCTGTCCTTCACTTACTGAGTTGAAATTTCAGCCTAGGGGTTTACCAGTCCTGGACTTCAGGATCAGAGAAACACAACAGCAGTAAACCACCTCATTATATAGTGTTTGTAGCAAGAGCCTGGAAGTGTAAATTACTGGGAAGAAGGAAGATTAACTCCATAGTTACGGAGCCTCTCAGAAACATAAGGTCTGCAGAATTTATTTGGTTTTCACTGGAGATTAGGTGGCCCACTGATACCAAGGCTAAGTGAAGCTCTTACCAATATCTAGAAGAGTCATGGGGAGCAAAAACCAGGATAAACCTGAATGGAGAAACCCTATAATGAGGTGGGCAAATACTTAACATTATGTTTTGAGCCTTCTTAGAAAAGAGGATCTGATTTGAATTACTCCAGTGTTTGCTTTGTCATGATTCAGAACTGCATCAACACATCTCTTCAGTAAAGGTACTTGACAGGTTTACAGGTTTAAGAAAATTGACATGAATATTTGATCTTTGTCCAAAGGAAAAAAAAAAAAAAACAAAAAACAAAACATCAGAAACATGAGCATTGCCATTGTACCAAATTCAAGCCTAGGACAAAACAAGTGAAGGAGTCATGAAAACTTTAGTTAGCACCAGAAGAAATCAAACAAAAGCTATGATGGCAGAAGGCAAAAAACTTGAGTTGAGAAACAGTATCACCAGGAAAGACTGGTAGACCTACCTGCTCAAGCATTTCAATTGACTCTCTTAAAACTCCCTTCACATGTTTAACCTGTTCCTTATCATATTGAGGGATCTCCTCTTTTGATACCGTTTCTGGGGATATGCTGAAAGAGATTAAGATTACATCAAACATGAAACAAGCACCTCCATGCCTTTCTAAAAGCAGCCACACTCTGCCGCCATTGCTCTGCCATTGCTAAAAGCATCCTTTCCCAAAAGCCACGTAAAAAGCTGCCTGCAGTTGAATTTCAATCCCTGTTGCCTTGAAGATACTGCCTCAGACCTTTGTAGACAACAGCCACCAAGAACAAATGTGCCCGTGTTATGTCTACAACGTAAGTTCTCACATTCCAGAGGGCAAGATCTTTCTTATGAAGAAAGTTACTCTAATCAGTTCTGAGATGATCACTACGGGAGGTCACCACACCGCTTCCATACTCAAGATCAGGTTATGGTTTTTAACTTGTTTGCTTGCTGATACCATAGAGAGGAAGCAACATCTGAGCCTCTTCCATGTGTCCGAATACAAAAGGCACCTAACATGGAAGTTTGACGGGGAGAGGAGATTTAGCAGGAGACTCACAGAAGGAGGCCAAAAACCTAAATAAATCTTTAACATTACATTTGAGATCATGCTGGTTCACACAGGATGAAGTGAATACTTCAGTTCTGTGATCAGCACTATGATATTCACAGAAGATGAGTCACAGCAGGGTGATAAATGCAAGCTAAGGTTAACACTCCCCCAAAAAACAGCTTGTCAAAGGAGAAATTTATTACTGCAAGATACAGTCAGACATGTCACTGGATATCAGCATAGACCACAGAAGAGCAGCAAGCCCCAGCAGCTTTTGAAAACTTACCACCAAGTTGCATTGTTCAAAATCTATTTCAGATTCTCATATAAGCTGAGGAAGAAAGAAAGCAAAGATTATGAATTCAACTTACTTCAAAGAGCTTTCTTCCTGAAGCTGGACATGATAGAGGGACTGAGCTGCATGCTCTATCTTTGACAGTTTGAGAAACAATGTTATATTCAGCAAGACCAAGAGCAGCAAACTGTAGACAGAAGAGAACAAAAATCAAGTCCTGTAACAATTTCAGTTGCAATGCTACTTTCAGTAGCAATGCTACAGAAACAAGATACGTGCTAAAAACAGCTAAGAAAAGAGAACCCTTCTTGGAGAAAAAGGGTGTGGGGCAGTGCTGTACTGAAAATAAAGATCTACCCAAACAATTCTTAGCAGTTAGCTTTAAGCTGTGTAACAGCAACCTACAGGAATGACAACAGTGTCTCCTCTTGGAACTTTTAAAACTAGGAAGAAGTAAATTCTAGAGATTTTTGTATAGGATCAGACATATGTAAACCTGCAAGATAGACTAGTTTGACAAGTCAGCATTTTCATTCCATGTGTCACTTCCTAAGTCAATCCATTCCCCTCCTATACCTGAGTGCTCCTATATATACATTCAAATTAGGTTAGGATCAATCATGCTACATGCAATGTTAACATGCAAGTGAGGTACAGACAAATACAGATAAAGACCAAGATGAGCTTGAGTCAAGCCACATTTTAATGCAAGTGAGTACTTACAAGACACTCATTACTACAATGATGGTGGTGGTCCTACTTACAGCATCTCTTTTCCTTCCTATAGGGCATGGAAGAGAAGGAGGTTAAAAAGTACTGAAGAACATTCCTAAAGGATGCCTGCAGATACATGTCAGTGCCCAGCATTTCACACAGAATAGCTCAACAGCTTCTGATGGAGAAAAATAACAGATCATGTGGGTGCACAAGATCATCTCCAACATTCACCAAGGCATTTCTGCAGTCATCTCAGACAAGTCAGCTGGACAGTCAGGCTCTTCCATCAGGAGCAGGATTCCCCCCACCCCAGTATGCTGCAGAGAACACAGCGCTGGGGCATGTTCACATTAAACCCAGATAGCCTGAGAGGGCTACAATCCATCCATTACTAACACTCATTCAGCACGTAGGCTGCTAGTCACACATGAGCAAAGACAGGCTGCAAAGTGGCTCTCTTCTGCTTGTTCTCCTGGCCACATTAGTCTTTCTGATGACCAGTGTCAAACCAAGTTCTCCTTCAACTTGTCCCATCCTTACCAGCTTGGTTTATATATTGGCCTGATGACAGCCTTTCGAAAGAGCATCTGCTAGTGATCAGACAACAGGGGCCGGACACTAGTGAGGGACAGAAGTGTGCACGTCCTCTCCAAACTGAGCAGCAATCACCTACCACTGTGGTCAGGCTGATCTTTAAGATCTTTATAATTCCCCTGATCTCCTAAACCAGTTTCTTACATTCATATTTTCTACCCTGGACAAGGAGCATACCCGAAAGCTGTCTTGTATACTGAGACAAACACGCTCACCTGAAAAGGTGGAGCAGCAGTTACAAAATTAAGTAATCAGGAAGTAATCTCACTTGCTATCACATCAATTAGATAAAGACAAGAGTAACGTACACACAAGTGTTACTCTTGCACTATTTTAAGAGTTAAGCTTTCCTGAACACACTTTTTGGAAAACACTTGATATAAAAATTCCTACCTATTATGCTGCCCTGGGACTCTACTCCCATGTCACCAGAGGAGTGTTGGGAAGACCGTCTGGGAAGTGATTCTGCCAGACTCCGGTGTAAAGTGCGTCGTCTTCGTCTCAGGGCAACTAATTTTCCAGAGTCTTCTATGGACTGATTAATTGCATATTCCTCCATTAGGAGATCTGATTCTGCAGCGGAAAAAATAAGGTTACTGAACTTTCAAAAGGAAAGCTGAAAAGCCTAGCACTGAAGACTTAAATTGTGAGATATGGAGGGTGGCAGTGAGAGAAGTAAGTGCATCTTCCAGTAAATGAACTTAAAGCAGGTAATTGACATAAGCTACACCTTGACCTGTACTACCTGTCCTATTTGCTACATGGCACTTAATACACTTTTCAGATATGATGTACATTCAGTCTGTGTAGGATTGTTTAATGATATGTTAGACAGCAGCTGGAGGAGCACTTCAAGACACTGTTAGGCTGAGACTTGGAATTGTGTTAGACTGTGAGCCTGCAGCCGTGGCCAGCCAGGCTGTTAACAGACATAGCCAAGGAGCCTGCCAAGTGCCACTGCTTCTCTTCTCATACCCACAATCAAGGAAATACTTAAAGATAGGCACATGCAGTTGAAATTAACGCTTTCCTGCTGTTCCTCATGTTTTCTTTAGAAACCTATTACTGACAAGGTATACAAGAGCTCCTTGTTAGCATTAAGCTACCAGGCTTCTGTTACACCCTGGAATTGGCAGATATATTGATGACAAGGACTTCTGACTTGGAGATTCCTTTGGTGTTGCCTTCTTTTCAAACCATTCTTTAAGAAATCAAGTTTGACAGACTTGTCATACATACACAGGAAAGGTAGCCTCCTTACTCTACTAAAGAAGAAAATGCCTCACCAAGTTGTTTGAAGTTTTCCTGTATTCCTCCCCAGGTATTCTTCTCGATTACAGACTTGACAAGGCCCCAGGGCTGTTTTTTATACTTTACTTCTGCAGAAACCCTAATAAACAGAATGCAATAGTGAAAGAGTGCTCTCTTGGTAGCACAGTGACAGCAGAAATCTCTTATCAGAAGCAGGCCTCCAGCTTACGTCCATACTCTGAAATATCAACTGGAACTGCCTTGGCTTTCCACCTGGGCAGCATTTACACTGAAGCAAAGCAAGAGACAGACAATAGCAAAGACAACATATCTAGCTAAAGCTTCAGGAGATTCAAATGTCCAAATTATGGGAAACATTTTTAAGTTTTTTCCTTCAGACTCAGACTAGCAGAGAATTTCTCTCCCCTGAAGTGTTCTCATTTTAACATACATTTCAAATAGGCTTCAGGCTTTCTGATCATAAAGTACTGCTTTTTACTCTGTATGTGTACACATGATGTATTACATGGCCACTGCAATGGCAGCAGGTGAAATTCATTATCACCACTCATGCACCAAGTGCTCAGATCCTACCCTGAGTAGGCAGAAATTAATATTCTATCTTTCTGTGAGCATGACAGAGGGGAAGTGACATTCCTGCCTTGCATTCCCCAGGTCAAACTAATCAATAATGGTTCTAGAATGGAAATGAATTGGAACAGAATCCTTCAGAGGGCTGCTTCTAACAACTGAATGAATCCTAAAGCTCTTCATAAAGGACAAAAGAATAGCCTGTGATTTTGATTTGTTTAAGTCAAGAACACTGATCTTCCTAGAATACACTTTCAACATTTTCAAGTAATCATCCAAATCAGTGTAAGCCCACTGTGTTTCTAGTCTAATAAAACAGCATCTTTCAAATAGAGTTTTTGAGCCATTTTAAACACGGTATAATAAAGCCAGCTGTAACACCACCATGCACCTTCTGTTCTACACACGCATGCTCTGTGCACCGTAATGAAACCTACATTTTTGCTCTTACCCTAGGGTTGCCATGTGTCTCATAAAACAAATATAGCCCTCAAAAAAAAAATTATCCAGAGCAGTTGTTCAAGGACCTTTCTTCCATTCTCGTCCCAGGGAGTCTTCAGCACTTTTATAGCCTGAGATAAGCCAGAATAAAATCCAGGCTTGCTTACCATTTGTGGGTACTGATGAAGTTTGAGATACAAGGTCTTTCTAAAGACAGCCCAAAAACTACCAAGGATTACGTAGTCAGAAAGTCACACAAATGCACTGAACATGGAACTTGATCACTTCAGGCATTTTCAACAAATGGGAGAGGAAAGGGCAGTACCTTTTAAGACTTCCCTATCTAGGTAGAGTTTAATAATGAAGCCTGATTCGCTTGAGTACCCTCCCTGCAAAGGTAGGTGTGTTCCATCTTCCCTGCACCTTCCTGTGAAACCATCCTCCTCTGCAGGCCCTTAGCAAGGATATCTGGGAAACTTTGTAATAAAACATTTCAGGTAGTTCCAATTTATCCCACTCACACAGCTGCACTCGAAAACGCAAGACTGGTCAGAACCCAGTTCAGTCTTGGAGATGAGTTCTGTACCTCGTAGAATCAACAAAAGAGTTCGTTTCTCACTGAATTAATGAGAGCCAAATACAGCATACACGTGACAAGAGATAAACCAAGCTTATTTTTCAGAAGAGATCCCCAGCTTCAAAAGAAACTGACCTTCTCTATGCTGTTGGCAGATCTTTTGATAAGCACCCTTCATCAACCCATAACGTACATGCCTTGGCTGTTCCCCCCCGCCCTCCGCCACTGTGCACCACTCAGGCTTACCGTAAGCGACACTTATGACTGGATGTGCGGCTGATGCAGTATCTGTTCACAGTGTAGAAATAATCATGGTAGGGGACATCATGGGTCAGTACCTCAGCATCCACCTGATAAGACTGACCTTTCTGGCTCTGCTTATGCAGGATCTACCATAAAAGAAAATAAAAATAAGAAGGTATGTTCATGGTACCCGACTTATTTTTTTTTCTTTCAGCCTGAATTCCTTAGGCTAGAGCAACCAACTCTGAGTGAAATAGAGTAGGGAGAAAGCCAGAACAACCACAATAAAAAACAGTTAAGAATGTCAAGTATAGATGGGGTGGGGAAAGAGAAGATGCTTCCCGCTAGATCCAACATAGGCAGCAGCAGTACTTCCTCACTGCCATCTCGAGTACCAGATGCAAGGCTGGCCACTGACTCATGACCACAGCTCCTCTTTGAGACTGACCTATGAGAGCTTTCCCAAAGCAGAATTGGAAGGCATCCCTGGTGGTCATCTTGTCCAAGAACCTTACTCAAAGAGGGCCATCTAGAGCTGGTTGCCCAGCACCATGTCCAGATGGCTTTCCAATATCTCCAAGGAAGGAGACGCCACAACCTCTATGGACAACCTGTTCCAGTGCTCCATCACCTTCATAGTAAAAAAGTGTTTCCTGATGTTCAGAGGGAACCACCTGTGTTTCAGTTTGTGCCCATCGCCTCTGGTCCTGTCACTGGGCACCACTGAAAGGTGTGGCCTTTGGTGGTGAAGGCCTGGCTCGGTCTTCTTTGCACCCTCCCTTCAGATACTTATACATATTGTAAGATGCCCCCTGAGCCTTCTTTCCTCTAGGCTGAACAGTCCCAGCTCTCAGCCGTTTCTCATATGAGATGCTCCAGTACCTTAATCATCTTAGTGGCCCTTTGCTGAACTCTTTCTATCTCTCTCATACTGGGGAGCCCAGAAGTGGACACTGGAAGTATTTAATTGCAACTTTTCACTCCCCAATTCATAAGAGATGTTAACACTTTTCCCCACAGACTTTGTGGGAGAAGTTTACAGCCATCTGTAAGGGTAGAAAGCCTCTCTGATTTCATCAGCATTTGGTCACTAATGGTGAAAGGGGCAGCAAGCTACCCTTAGAGATGCTACGTTTAAACTGCAGATCCACATTCAGCTCACTGAACTCAAATCCATGGTCAGATCTCTGACAGAATCATAGAGTTGACCTCTCCCTTGCTTTAGAAGGCATCAAACACACACATGCTCACAGTACCTGCTTTTCAGTTGCAGTTGTGAACTTCCCACAAAGTGGATTGTTAATCGTTACAGTGTATGTCAAAGTCCTCAACTGATTGCCACTGGAATCTCTATTCCAAGGGGTTGATACAGCATCTAGATGAGAAATTACACAAAATCTCACATGCGAATTACCTAAAAGGCATTACCTCTGCCCTTTTGTATCTTAACATTTTAAGAGCAGTGCGGGGGGGAGAGACAGAAAACTGATTCCAAATGGTTGTGTGTTTTGTGGAAAAGGGAAAATTGTGGTTCACTGATGAACAAAGGTGAGTCACTAAGTAGCTGAACCTGAGTCTACTGAAAGAGACTTGAGGGTGGGGAGAAGAGTAAGCAATTAGATGAAAATATGTCATTTCCCATCTGCTTAAAGTTGAATAGATTCACTTAGCATTATCAAAAGCTTTTGCCACTTTGCCTTCCAAGCTGACACTGAATAAATATTACCCTTTTTGACTTAATTTTCTGTTCTTATGATCTCAGTGAATAAAATTTACTCATCCAGAAAATTAAAGCCTTTGAGTATCGTTTAGGAGGATGCAGTGATTTTCCCTGTGTGCCAGCCATACACATTTCACTATTTCTGGGACACAATGCAATCAGAAATACCCTACAGAATGCATCAACTTAACAGCCTACCCAAAATTCAGGCATTAAGGTGCAGTTTTGTAGTGCACTGAAATGAGGTTTTTACTCTGAAATGTGACTGATCTACAGAAACAACAGGCCAGCTTTAAATATCCTCTCTCATAGTGGAACTTTAAAGCTTCAAAATTCTTTTAAAGCAAGGAGAAACTTAGAATTCAACTTAGCCCTGTTTAACATTCCTCAGAGGCTGAAATTTTCAGGATAGTTTGCAACATGGACAGAAGGGAGAAGAGTATATTACCTACTATACTCCTGGAATTGAGAAACCTCTGCATGAAGTGAGAATTGGTGAAAAGGATTTCAAACATCTTGTCTGCAGTAATGTGGAAAACTCTGTTTATAAAAAGTCTCCCATAGAGATCATTCTCAGAGACAGTCTCCTTCACTGCTAAGAAAAGGCAGAGAGATCCGGTTAAGAAAAGAACAGTATTATGAAGAAACTTTATCATATTCTAAGCTTTATTACAGCTCAAATCCTTCCCAAGCTTGCATCGGCGTTTGTTTCTCACTCTCAGAAACCCAGTAATGAGAGCAGCACATGATTTGGTAGGTAGGTTGTCTTCAGGAGCAAAGTCCAGAGTTAATTTTCTAGCCTCCCCCTGCCCCCATTTCCCTATGCAAACATAAATCAACATCACAAGGTCCCATCCCTTTCGTATTGGCTTCAGTATTCTACTAATCCTAGGAAGGACTAGGAAACACTGGGGAAGACAAAGTTAGCATAATCTCCATTAATATGTGTGTCTATTGTACAAAGACGACATGCTCGCAGGGCAGTGAAACCATACTAGTTTTCTTCTTACTTGTGGCTAGTTTCAGAATTCTGCTTTTAGCATCTGTAATGCTGGTAATGTCCACAGTCTAAGAGACGGGTACAAACTCCTAAACAGTTCTTCTCTCCATACCTATTTATAAGAGGAATGCAAGAGGTACCCTGCTCCATTTTGCAGTCCTGAAAAGTGCACCAAGACGCTTAATCACCATCCCCTATTTCAAAACCACCAAACACCCCAGTGGCGATCTGTGGCTGCAGCACTGATTTTCGCTATTTCTGCTTCTTGTTGGTTGCTGGCATGACTCAGCTTTATGGTTATCTCAGCCACGCTTGCAAGAGATAAGGGATAGAATTATAATCCTGGAGGACAAGCAGTTTCCTATGCCAACCCCAACTCAATCTGCTTATGCTTCAGAAACAAGTCCATCCTAAGCTATAATTACCAAAAAACCCCAAAAACCACCCCCACACATCACTAAAATGAAACTAAAAGCCTGAAAGCAAATCTTGTGGAAGCAAGACAGAAGTCAGGATGCCTAACCTTTCAACTGATACAAATGAATGCTCAGAGCTAGCAAAGGTCAGTGCCAGCTGCCAATGCAAAGATAGCTTGAATATCAAGCTATAGTTCACAAGCTGCCTATAGGCTAAGGTTACAGCTTGGCAGCAGTCAGAATTGATAAATGCAAATGCAGCAACTAAACACCACAACAGTCCCTAACGAAATCCAGCTCTGACTCTGAGCAGACTTCCGCTCTAGTGCTGCTTCTAGCCTGCTAAAGGTCCCTGTTACACATCTGCCTCCAAAAAAGTTCTCTCTGACCTAATCAGGCTTCAGTGTAGGACCCCAAAAGCGAAGCATGAGTGCCAGATTTTTGTGATGCACAAGAGATGAACTTCCTTCCTATGTCACATTCTGCTTATGCAATTGTAAGTCTATACAATTGTGAGGTGGGACAGAAAGCAAGCAGGCATTTTAAGGGGCCTATTTAACCAGCCAATATGCAGTCATTACATGCTAGAATACAGATTCTGCTGTGCTGAAACATTCTGTGGGAAGCCAGAAATTCAGCCTGGGTTTTCAGCTTATGTTCACTGTATTTCCCTCTCAGACTTGAACCCAATTTCAGCAAAATGCAGCCCGAGTGAACTGTAAGTTTGACTTCAGCTAACAAGACCTCAACATTACAGACCTCTCCTTTCAGAGTGCAGTCCCCATTCCTCTCTTTCACCCAGAGACAGGAAGGTTCAGATATTGATGTTGACATCCCCTTTGCCTACTGCACATCAGCTAACACGAATGGAGTCAGATACAGGTAATTCAAACCTAGTTACTCTGAGTCTTACTCAGCTGGACCTTGACATGGCCAAGGAATCTGCTACCATTTAAAAAAAAAAATACAAAGGCCCAGACATACAATCAAGTCACCATGCATCAGATAAGCTTTGACAGCTATTTGTATATGTCTTAGCAAATACAAGATAATACAAGTTACCTTTGCCCCAGTGAGGCTTAGCTAAGCGACACAATTTTATGTTCATCTGAAATGCATGAGGACAGCTACTATGTTTCTGCTGATGTGAGGTAATTTGGTAAGCCACAGCAATTTATGATATGCACAAAGCCCATGCATTACTACCTTAAGGTGCAGACCTTGCTACTGAGATATTTTACTCTTCGAGCATGAAGTCTGTCCTCCTTGTAGTGAGGCCTTAAGCAAGAGCATCCATGGGTCTACACAAAATTTCCTGTTAGTTGATTTACCTACACTATTTCTATCTACTCATGCCTCTAATAAGAAATAGTCAATGCAGTGCCAAGTGCATGACAGTGTCTATTGAGAAATACGTTTTTACTTACAATCCCTCTCAGCTCTTAGAACAAACAAACAAAATTTTTAAAAAATGCTGTTATCACATAAAGCAGTATTTTCAGAAAATCCAAGCTGAAATTGAGTTGATACATCAGGCCCATCAGCCACTTTAGATGCTAGGATTCAAACAGCTGTTTTCCAACAAAGCCTGGAAATCTTTCAGACTATAGGTGTGGAAGGTGCACGTATGAATGCTGCTGTGAGTTCCACATCTGTGGAAGCAAGTTGCTGCATGCACCAAGAGCTTGACAAGCTTCAAGTCACTTCCATCTGGGCTTTTCAGAGAGAAGAAATCTGTAGAAATCCTAGATGAAGCAGTGAGCAGAAACAGTAGCATAGCAAAGAATAAGTGTACAGTATACACACTTGCAATTTGAATAGAAAGCTTTAACCACTCGCCTCTGCTACAAATGAATATGCATGTTTGTCTACTGGTTTTTTTTGTTCGTTATGAACAAAATGTTTTGTGCAGGTATCTAGATATCAATTTAACTCCTTAACTTTTAATGCTGTTCTAACCCCTCAGCAGTATGCAACTATCAACCACTAACTCTCTTAGCCTGAATACACTTATAGATGAATTGGACCTACTGTCCGGTAAGAGAACATGAGATTATTCTGATTTTAGGTTAGGATCCCTAGGGACCCAAAAATCCAGAAGCAAATATATTACCCAGAGTGTCCTGGTTCAGCATGAAGACAGCAAGTCCCTCCCCCACTATTGCCTTGCACTTCATAAGGTCATTTTCATCACTGCAAGGCAAGCTGTGAAATAATGTTTGAATATAATACCATTATGCAGCAGTGATTGCAGAGGTTTGAAAACATCTACAGTGCAAGAAAAGAAAGAGACAGAAAACTGGAGTTTGGGAAAGGGGGCAGGAAAAAAATTGTTCTTAAAATTCCCATTAACAACCAGCAGCTCGAAGCTAAACACACACCACAAGCAAATTAAGAAAGCTGAACAGATAAGAGCAGAGGACATCAAACAAATTAAGATGGCTGATTTTTTCACTCCATGGAGTTGGGGGAGGATCAGAAAAAAAAGTATATAAGCAAATCTTGGCAGTATTGAGGATTTCTATGCCACTGCAGATGGGGAAAAATTGCAAACTGCATGAAGAATAAGCAGGTAGGAGCCTTTAACCAGATACACCTGAAAACAAGTCAATAAAATCAATTCCTAGAGTGAACATGTTCCAGACACTATCTACTTAAAGACTGCATCAGCAATATTAACAATAGTTCTCCTATGCTTTAAAAAGCTAAGTACAAAATTAACTTGGGGAAGTACCGAGTAAGTACTGTGACAATGCTAGCTTTTTCCAGTTCACAAGATAAAAACTTACGCCTTTTGCCTTTAGATAACTCAAACATATATCCTCCAAACCCCAAAGCAACAAATAATTGGTAGTTATATATTCAACAAAATACATGCTTTTGGTATTTTGATTAAAATGCCAACAAGGTAACAGGGCTACTTCCTTACATATATTGTATAACCAAAATTTCATATCTTGGAAAAACAAACAAACAAACAAACAGGACTGAACTAATTTCAACCACCCTGTATTTCAAACATTTTCTGCCCCATATATCCCTATCTGCAAGAAAAGCTAAGCCACCACTGTACCCATCTCACACCACTACAGTGTAAGCAGTTACGCTCTCCTGCAGACCACACATTTAAGGTGGTTATTAGTACAAATAGAAGCAATACAGTAAGTCTGTGAAGTTATGCAAGGAGATCAGTTTATGATGTCCCCATATACAGTAAAGCTTTCTAACAGAAAAGAGTATTTTCCAATTTCCTGCTTCCCCCTTCTTTCTTTGAAGTATTTTATTCTGCTTAACATTGTCGTTGCATACAGAAACCCTATATACAAAAGAGTCATTTGAGGAAATTCAGAATCTCCTGGCTCTATTTTGGAAATATATATTCCGTGCTTGAACTAAAATTTGTTTTCTGAAATTCAGAATCAAGACTGCAGATATTAATTTTTAGCTTAGCCAAAAGTTTGTCATGGCTAGAGATTTATACTCCAATTTATGAAACCAAAAAAAAGCACCAGAACGCAGGTCAATAGGCCAGCAGTGCACAGAGAGATACACACCCCCCATCCCGAGGTAAGCGATGTGAGAATTGCTTAGGGCAAGGGAACTATTGTTGCCAAGGCTCTGGCATTCCAGCTTTGGGTATCAGGTGGACCCGCAGTTGGAGAACAACAGTCTTGAGCTTGCCCCTCACCTTATTTGCCAGGACACCTCCATGGGCAGCCCGAGTATGAGCCAGAGGACACAAGCGAGATTAATCACATGGGTAAACCTTTGCCATGTGGGAAAAGCTAGTTTCATTTGCATGAAGGAATTCACCTTGTAAGAGTATGGGGCAACTGCAATAGAAAACAGACAGAAAAACAGAAGAAAAAAATTCTAAGCATGAAGAACGGAATCTGAGAGAAAAGATTAATGTTGTGGGACTAGAAAATCCTGCTCTGAATAAAAAAAGACTAGTCTTGAGGGAGGGAGGAGAAGTAAGAAAAGCAGCATGAAGCCAGTTCTCTTTTAAAGAGACATCTCCAGTTTAATATGCTCTATTTACCTGACATCACCAATGCAGGGATGACAGGGAGTATTTACTGCTATCATTGAGGCAAGCAGCAGCATGAAAGACAACAGGACTATTTTCAATCAATTTCACTGGAGACCTTTGCCATAAAAAATAAAATCCAGACACAGAAGAGAGATGTGGTACTAAGAGGATAGGAAAACTGCAAGATATCCAAAACATCCAAAAGCCCAAAACTTCCTGCTGCTCTAAAAGATACACCTGTGATGGAGTAAACAATTAATTTGTGAAGCTTGTTAGGTGTGTAGGAGTATGGCACAAACAGCAGCCTGTTCAAGTAGGCATATTCACAAAAATGATACAACCTGACATGCATCGAGTTGAATCTGAACTCAAGCAAACACAGAAGCAGTGTGGGTGAGCTTAGTTAGTTGAAAAAAAAGGAGAGTTAGTTGAATATAAAGTATATCCTCAGGCAACAATCACCACTTGCAGGCAGCCAATTTGATCCATGACCTTGAAAGCTTTCCTGGACACCCCAGTGATCCCGACATAATGACACCTGCAAGCAACTTCAGTTGCCAGCTCTGTTGGAAGGGATGAGATGCAAAGTTTCTTAGCCAGATTAAGAACTGGCCTCAATTAACTGAATTGTTATATTCCTGCCAACAGGTGATGAAAGTAAGTTATCTCTTTGCATATGAAAGAAATATTCAGCTGCTACTGAGCACACTGCTACTGTTGAGCTTTTCTGTCCTTCATTTGCACACCACCATACAACTTTGGAACCAATCCAGGTTGCACACACCTCCGTTTAAAGGCATTTACAGAGTCCAAGATTGGGATATTTAACAGAACATCCACCACAACTTCAGTGAGCTGTCTGAACAACTACGGCCCTTTGGCACAGAAAAGTTCCCCACCATAAGTGAAAAGCTCACCTTTAATAGAGTGAGAACTTGTCAGGGGCTACTGTGGGACCACAGAACGAGCACCCACAGACCTCAGCACAAGTCTCACTGTCATCCAGCCTGGGTAGAAGGCATGCTCTGGCCTTACTCTCTCCCCAGGACATAGCAAAAACGCTCATACCAAAACCACTATGCAACATACAGCTACACTTCTCTCTCCTACAGTGAGAAGAGGAATGGAAGCATGTAACATCCAAGTTACAATCTCTACACTACTGTGGTATCCAAGTTTCTTCTCATCTTGTACTGGGTAATAAGTATGAGTTATGAGGATGGTATATTAGGATCCATTAAGATACTAACTCTGTTGGCACACAAAGTGTAAGCTGCTCCAAGATACATGTTAAGGTTTTTCATCTTCAGACCGATTCAGAATATGCACAATACACTCCTGAAAACCGGGAAGTTGTCTTGCCTGGACTTGCAGCGAGTTCCTTGGTTTACTCCATCAATAACATTGAAGCCCATATGCCTTAAGAAAGTAGAAATGTAAAGAAGCGGGGGTGGGGAGGTTGGGGGAATCTTTCAGAAACTGGAGAAGAGTCTGAAATGTTTCCCCTCACTCCCATGAAGTGAAAACAAAAGGAAAGAAAAAAATTTGAAATACCTGTGAGAGCATGGAAAGTGAACAAACACCACCACATTGTCAAGAAACTTCTTTTTTTTTAGTTTAAGCTGTTAGCAACTCTTTACCCACCAAAGGAAAAAAAAGCAAAACCACAATTTGTTTTCGCTCTAAACATCCCCCAACAACTTTTTTTTTTTCTCCCCAGAAACTAAGAAAGATACAAACATGTTTTTACTGCAATTCTGTGAAACAAATAAGCAAACAAGTTTCATAAGATCAGAAAGTTCTGTAGCTTGCTCCACAAGTGAGATGGAACACCGAAGTCAGATTGTTTTACAGATTCTTATTGTTAAGAGATTTACCTTCCTCACTGTCTGAGGCACTGCTCTTCTCTGGAAGATTTTCATTCTCATTCAGGTCTAAGGACTTTTCTAAAGACCTGCTCCTGACTAGCTTAACAGGTTTTCTTTCTGAAGATGGAAGAGGGCTCTTCTTTATTTGCCTCTCACTTGGGGACTCCTCCACCTGAAACAACCAAGAAGAAAAAAATGCATCAGTAATCACAGACCATTTAAAAAAAGAGAAAGTTACTTTCAAAGTAGAAGGACATATAAGGGAAGCCACAAGTTCTATCTGCTCAATTATGACACAGCCAAGCACTAATTTCTCCCTTGTTCCCCTACCCCAGCCAACCTCTCTTCCTCTTTATTTCAAACTTTCACTTTACCCTGGTAACAAGGGACAGACTTACTCATCTGTACTGTCATACCTAGAGCTGCCTTAAAAGGGACAGTTTACTCCCCATCCAGGCCCCTTGCACCCACCTGCACAGTTTGGTCCCCTTCCCTGCATCAATGCTAGCATTTGTGAGTTAATTAAATTAATACAGATTACTTACTTTTTATTGATCAGGTTAGTTTTTTCCTGCCAGTTTAGCAAGGGGTCCAACAATCCTGAGGGGAAGCACAATGAAGTAGGCAGGGCCTCCCTTTTTCAGGAAGATTAAGTCATCCCAATTACATATTTGAAAGGTGTTCTTATTTTGTAGGGCTCAATTCCCCTTTGACAAAGAAAAGTTTTAAAACACTGTCTAGAGCCATCCTACCTATAAAATGTTACTTCTCAGGAACAAAGCAATGGATATCATTTGCCATCTCCAGGACATCCCCCAAAACATCAGTCACTGAATCAATGATGCAGCTCTTGACCCTAAAATATAATAACTGGCGGCTAAGCTTACGTGCCATTGCATACTTCAAGAAGTAATTTCTAGTGAAACTGTATGTCCAAGGTTTGTACATCTCAAAATGCCACCTAAAAAGCTCGGCTACTAGCTATGAATCATAGTTTTAATTCTAAACGTCTCCTCAAAGCTCCCATTGCCTCCAGTGCAACAGCTGGGATCAACAGTAGTACAGCCCCCCCATATGCAGTAGTACATGGACCATAATAAATAAGATCAGGCCTCCTCAACTGAGTAGTTCCGATTCATCTGCAATACCATCATCCCTAAAGATTATTCAGCACTGATTAAAAAAAGCAAGAGCATCCGCTACTTGAGTAGTCATCATGTACTTCCTGTACTTGGCTTTTTTCAAAATAAAGACCATCTACATTTTTGTGCAACTGAGGACCATTAGTAGAAGGTGGAGGTCGCTGGAAAACAAAAACAGGCATGAATTTTGACTGCAGTATAAGCAGGCAAAAAATACTCCCTCAAGGTCAAAAAAGGAAGACTGCATCAGAAAACCAGATCAATTAACAAATGCTCCTATTGAAAGGAGCTACCATGCCTGAAGTTATACTCAGTCACACAATAGGAACTAGGACAGAACCAACATTTCAATATCAAAAGTATTCTACCAATACAGATGGAAGTAGCTAGTTGTGGTTAAGCAGTCTAAAAATTGACACAGATCCAGCACAAATCCATGGAACTCTCATAGCATTTTGATGAAGATTAGGGATCTGGTGAACAGATAGAGCTCCCACCAGCAGCATAAGAGCAGCTCCACTATGCCACACACAGAGCAGGAAAGTCAGGCTCAAGTCAGAAGACTAGAGCAACAGCTCCTACAAAAAAGCCTTTCGTGATGTCAAGGAAGAGGAAATTCATGCTGACACTTTTGGAATAGCTGATCAACTCCAATACAGTTTTCTTGTTCTATGAATTTTTTTTTTCCCCCTAGAGAAAAAACAATAATGATTTTAAGACCTGTCTCCTGAGCTAGTCCAGCACTGCTAAGCTCTGTGCCAAGGCTTTTCAGTTTTTTAACCTGTGAACAGCAGGCTCCTGGAGTGGAAGGCTCTAAGGTGTCCCTATGAAGGGTGGAAGGAAGAAGATGGTTGATCCAGACAGGCAATAAGGTGGTTCCCACATTGTGAACACACGTGCCATGACTGGTGTTACATGCAGACTTTCTTTAATCAACTATGGACAGCTATCGACAATATTTTTTCCAAGACAGGCCAAGCACTATAGCCAGCACCTCCATCATTTCAGATCTCCTTCTGAAGAGAGCTTTGGGACTTACTTTGCCTATCAGAGCAGGAAAGAAGGGGTTAAGTCTGTTTCTCTCCAGTCTTTGGAAGGTGATTAAATGTGTTTTGTGTCATCAGCGCCATGGTTTTTGATAAATACATTCTAAGCACTACTGCCTCCTCCTACTACCCCTGAGCTTCTACAACATATGCTGTAATCCTGGGGTTGTGGGGAGTGTATCAACATTCTTGAGAAGTGCCAAGTGACACATATAGCTCAACACAATCATTATGTATTTTAGATACACTGAAGCAGTAAGCTAAGCAGTTTAGTTACATATTTATCAAGACTGCACTTTTACACTATAATTAAAGGACTTTTTAAAAGCAGTTTATTCAAGGGAGAATCCTAGCGTTTTTCCTTGCGTACAAACCAAATCCCCAGGCATTACTGCTTACCAACATGCCCAATTAGATATAGCACCTGCAAGAGACACCTCTGGGTGTGGCACCCAGTAGGTAAACAAAACACTTCTTTTCCAGGCAGAGCAATTATTTTTAAATGGGTTGTTCTTATGCAAATAAGAATTAAGTCCAAACCAAGACTAAACTGGGTAGATTTTTAGTTATCCTAAAGAGCACAAATTCCAGCAGCATCCACAGACCTCCCTTGCAGCTCTCCAAAAAATCATGTTTTATACTGCTGGATTTTCCATGAGGGATACCCATCATCCGATTAACTAAGCTTTTAACATCTGACAAACAAATACCAGTATTGTTTGCTGGTATGAGTGTCTAGCCATTAACTTGGATTTCGGCGAAACTATTTAAAGCCTGCTTAACCTCCAGATCAGTTTTAGCAAGTGACAAAAACCGTAAGATTTATATGGTAGTAAAAACTATTACAAGCATCTCCTTTCTTCCCTCCCCGTATTTTCCAAAGCAGTAATTAGGCACCCAAAACTAGTGAAGTTTATAAGAAATACTTTAGTGCTTTATTTGGTTTTCCAAGATCTTTGCCTTGGAGTATCTATTAATCAAAAGAAAATGTCTGTAACATTTCAGGACTACAACTACACACAGGAGTCCCAGCAACTGTGTGAGACACTGTGCATGCCTCAGATACCGCTACTAATACGCTTGCCCTCCCAACCAGCCAAATACATTCACAAATTCATACAATATCATGAGTAAAGCACCCATGCTTGTTCAGTTGTATTAACCCAAGGCATTAAGTAAAAACTCATCTTGTGGTTTTTTTCCCTTCCTTCTGAAACATCTCCACAAATCTAAATAAAAAAAGGTTTCATATATTCACAGCAGCACACTAACTGACCTTTGAAGGCAAGGATAACGCAGCACAACTACCCTCTAATAAACCTCATGTATAGGAGAGATGGAAGTGTAAGAGCAGATTTTTTTTAACAACAAATAGCACAAGCAAGAAAGCATTGGAAGTGAACAAAGGCATTACTTTCATAAAGGCACTTGCATAAAAATGCACATGGTCCCTAGGAAGGTGAATAAATCATGGTTAATTTTGTTTTTACAGCTGGGAAGACCAAGGCATAAGCCTCAGCATTCTAGCCAGGTTATGCAGTGAGTCAGTGATGGGACACTGCTGAAACCCACCCCAACAATATTCTCTTATACAGAAGTTTGTTCATTTCCAAATTAAAGACATATTCTTGAAACCTGAAGATATTCATATTAAATTTCTGATGTGAAAGCCTTCTAGACTATCATGAATTCTCAGAGGCTTCTTGAGAAATGACAGTCCCTATGCACTACAGATACATGCTTACAGATATACAAGTTAAGCGTATATGCTTATCAGTTACAAATAGTAAGAAAGGCTGTGTCAACACTTACTCCTGGCAATGCGGGGCTATTGAGTGACTCTCCTTCTGTTTGAAGCGTGGGTTCCCGAACTAAACCAATCATTTTAGGTAGTTTTTCATCCCTTTCTCCAGAATCATCACAAATGCTGGATCTGTCCAAAGCAAAAAGGAAGATATATTTGGAGATAATAAGTGCTGAAAAATCTGAGAAAGCTTCTCGTGTGTGATTTTTGCATTCAAATCATGGCTGTTCAGCTAATATTAAAAACTAACAACTCATTCTTCCCACATCGAGCTCATTAATCTCTCAAGCGATTTTCCTCACCCTAGCCACCTCTCAGAAGATTCAGCTTCTGACTATAAGGTTAGTAAAACCAAACACTGGTGAATCAAAGAGAAAGTGAATGCTGTGGGAAAAGAGGAAACACAGATAGCTTAGAACAAGTTTGGAAAGAAAATGTTTTAGAAAGTTTGAGACAAGAATTTTTTCCTGCATCCCTTATTCCAGAGTTGCAAAGTAGTGCATTTTTTACAGAGGAAAAAAAAAAAACCAGGAAATATTTAATAGGACATTTTTTGAAGCTTACAGTGAACTTAAGATTTTTTTTTTTTTCCTAACAAACATACTTAGACAACATAGGGTTGAAGAGAGACATAAATTACATTGTTCAAGTTTGCAGAGCCATACTTATTTATGTACAGACACAAAAATTAAAGCCCTGTTATTAGATTGATGTTGGCAGTTTATAAGTTAGTTCACATTTGTTCCAAAAAATGATGGCAACAATTTAAAAAAAAAATCCACAAAAATCCACATACAGTTAGATTATTCCAGCTTCCTAATTCAAGCTGAGGACAATATAAAAATAAGCTAAGGTCTCAGACATCAGGAAAACAAAGCAAAACAAGTGTTTTAGTCTCCAGAGAGAAGAGGAAAAAGTGTCTGAACATCATATATAGCTCCATTCCATTCAGCCCTTCCACATTGTTGAAAGGCATACAGATCCTAATTAGATACCATCATGAGAAAACGTTGCTATTTAAGCTATCCTGCTGATATCCCCAAGCAGATCCAGGGAGAACAAGGTCTTCCTATCTCCCTCCTCTAAGGGGCCTCAGCTGTACTCCTACCGTTTTAGACAATGAACACAAGTTTTTATGCGTGCTCAGTTTATACACTTCAGTTCTTTACATCCTTTTACTACAGGCTTAACCTTTCGGGTAAGGCTACAGCAGCACTTTGGAAAAAGAACTTCTAAGCAGGAGGACACTGTTTCTTCCTGAGTATTTCAATAAGCTTTATAGCCTCCCCTTACCGAGGCTGCCCGTTGTCCTCAGACGATGAGTGGAAGCTCTCCATCTCCTCGCTGTTCAGGCCCAGCTCAGAGCCATAGCTCTGGTGCACCAGCTGCCAGAATTCCTGCTTGGTCAGCCTCTGAAAGAAAGCGAGCTAGTCAAGAACTACAGTATGGGACAGTAAGGCACAGGAGGTAAAACAGTTTGAATTACGCCACAGCCTTTAACCTCAATTCTGACAAGGACTGAAAGCATTTAGGTATCACATTTCAAGATTGGATTTCAGCATTTTGGGGAACTGTACTCCCGTCTACACCATATTCCCAACCCATCACTGTTCAACCAATAACATCAGACATAAAAAAATTTGTTATTTCAAGAAAACACACACTTGTAGCCACTACTTGCTTCTTCATGTGTCACCAATGTTTTCACAGCTATCTTTAAGGTAGCTCCTTCCTGAATTTCACTCAATACAGCAGAAGACCAGTAACTAGTAGACAGTCAGGGACTCCCTCTTTGATCTTGGACAAACTTTAATAGATACATGCCTGTTTCCTCAGGATGCTCAGAGTGCATTACAAATGGCGAGAGGCTAGCGTTTCAGTCACTACAGACAGCAATGTCTAGGTCAGCCAACCGTCCACTTTGCCAAGGTGGGACAGGAGGTCCTCGCTTTGGAACACCACCAGAAGCCCCCTTACATAAAATAGTTCCTTTTGCTCAGTAACAGTGTTACCTTTACTCATCACTAGCTACTCTTCTCTTTCTCTATAATCTCTCTGCCCTCCTCCATGAATTCTCACAGCTACTGGGAGATATTTAAGTTCCCTCAGATCATCTGGAAAGTCAGGAAGTGAAAGTAGTATGACAAACTCATATCGGCAATGTACGCAACTAGTTTCAAAGTCCACTTCAGCTGTAAAGGGCTCAA